CTGTCTCCTGCACCCCCACTCCAGGGGCCCAGGGCGTCACCTGGCCTGGCTTTCCTCTCCCAGGAGTGGGTGCCATGACCTGGTCCCCTCTGGCCTGCGGCATCGTTTCTGGAAAGTATGACAGCGGCATCCCGCCCTACTCCAGGGCCTCCTTGAAGGTAAAGGAGGGATTGGGCTGGGGAGGGGACAGGCAAGGGATGGGCGTTTTGTAGAGGCGATGCCTTTGGGCAGATAACCTTGGTGCCGGGCGCCCTTCCCTGGGCCTCTGCCTGCAAGGGGGTTCAGGTTATGGGAATTTGGAGCCCTGGCTAGAACAGTTACCCACCTTCAGTTCAACATTCACAGCCTGGGCTGGGGCCACATGTGCTTTGGGATGCTCCTCCCTCCATACACACCCATACACACCACACGCACACACGCCTGCTCTGGGCTGCAGAGCTTGTTCAGTTGTCACTCAGAGGTAGCTCTCTAGGACAGCTCCCCCCCCCCCACAGACGTCTAGAGAGGGGACTCAAGGAGTCTCCAGAATGCAGGGTCTGGGGGCCAAGGATCAGGCAGATCCAGCCCTGGAGCCCCAGGCCCCAGGTTCAAGGGCAGGTGGCCTGGAGCCCTCACGCCTCCCCAGCCCACTGCAAGGTCAGGGAGCCACTGTGAGGCACTGCAACTCCGAGAATGGGGGTAGGGAGACTGCACCCCCTCAGTGCTGGACCAAAGACAGCAGTATCTCTCCTAGGGACACTCCCCCTCCTGGGAGAAGGGAAGGGAAAGGAAGGTCAACTCCTTGCCCTGGTTCAGCGGCCTCCCCACAGACACAGGGCTTCAGAGTGCAGGTCCCACCCTTCCAACCTCTGGGGGCAGGGCCGGGTACTGCCCTGGCTTCAAGTCATCAGCCATCTGCACCGGGGGTCCTGCCCTCACCTGTGGGCTGTGTTCTTCCCCACCCCCAACCAGGGCTACCAGTGGCTAAAGGACAAGATCCTGAGCGAGGAGGGCCGGCGCCAACAGGCCAAGCTGAAGGAGCTGCAGGCCATTGCCGAGCGCCTGGGCTGCACCCTCCCGCAGCTGGCCATAGGTAACAGGGCTGGGGGGAGGCGCTGGCCATAGGTAACAGGGCTGGGGGGAGGCGCTGGCCATAGGTAACAGGGCTGGGGGGAGGCGCTGGCCATAGGTAACAGGGCTGGGGGGAGGCGCTGGCCATAGGTAACAGGGCTGGGGGGAGGCGCTGGCCATAGGTAACAGGGCTGGGGGGAGGCGCTGGCCATAGGTAACAGGGCTGGGGGGAGGCGCTGGCCATAGGTAACAGGGCTGGGGGGAGGCGCTGGCCATAGGTAACAGGGCTGGGGGGAGGCGCTGGCCATAGGTAACAGGGCTGGGGGGAGGCGCTGGCCATAGGTAACAGGGCTGGGGGGAGGCGCTGGCCATAGGTAACAGGGCTGGGGGGAGGCGCTGGCCATAGGTAACAGGGCTGGGGGGAGGCGCTGGCCATAGGTAACAGGGCTGGGGGGAGGCGCTGGCCATAGGTAACAGGGCTGGGGGGAGGCGCTGGCCATAGGTAACAGGGCTGGGGGGAGGCGCTGGCCATAGGTAACAGGGCTGGGGGGAGGCGCTGGCCATAGGTAACAGGGCTGGGGGGAGGCGCTGGCCATAGGTAACAGGGCTGGGGGGAGGCGCTGGCCATAGGTAACAGGGCTGGGGGGAGGCGCTGGCCACAGGTAACAGGGCTAGGGAACAGGGTAGGGCTGGGAGCTGTCAGGAGCCCTTGATGCCTGGGCCACCCCTTCCCAGCCAGCCACGGGTGATAGGGGTCCCACATTCCTGGGAAGAGGGTGGAGGTTTCTGAGCACTTGGGCCACCTCTCCACATGGGGGAAGCCTGTGCCAGGTCTCCCCCAGCACCCCTCCCCCAGCACTGCTGAGCGCTGGACTAGCTGGGCCCCTCCAAGGCACCCTCAGCCCCAGATCCAGAGGCTGGGTGTCTGTGGCCCACTGAGGGGCAAGGCAGAATCAGAGAGGGCACCTGCAGGGGGGGGTGTCTCCTTCACCTCTGGTCTTGCTGCCCCCAGCATGGTGCCTAAGGAATGAGGGAGTCAGCTCCGTGCTCCTGGGCGCTTCCAGTGCAGACCAGCTGATGGAGAACATTGGAGCAATACAGGTGAGCTGGGTTCCTGCTGGGCCCTTGGGCAGAGCTCAGGGTCCCATCTGTTATCTGTCCAGCAGATATTTGTTGAGCACCTACTATGTGCCAGGCACTGTGCTAGGCACAGGGGCTCCATTAGGAGGCCACCAAAGAGCCTTGCTCTGGAAGAGCTGGTATTCTAGCCGAACAGACAGTAAACACTGACATGGAGAATTAAGGGAATTAGAGCGGGTGTCAGATAAGCACTATGGGGAAAAAAAGCTAGAGCAAGAGCAGGGTGTCTGGGAAGGCAGAGCCATGGACCCAGGGTGAAGGGGCTGTCAGGGTGGGCTTGGAGAGAAAGTGACATGTGAGCAAAGGCTTGGAGGGTGAGGAGTGCGCCGTGCAAATATTTGGGGGAAGAACCGTTGAGGCAGCAGGGACAGCCAATGGAAGGCCCAAGGTGGGCTTGGGCCTGAGCCAAGCATGGGGGCGGGGCAGGAGTGAGCCGACCCCTGGGATACTCTGAAGACTTTGGTGATAATTATGGGTGAGGTGGGAGCCCTGCAATTTGGAGCAGAGTAAGGGCCTGGTTTGACTGAGGTCTTAAAAGCGTCCCCCCTTCTCTCTGGCTGCTGAGTGGAGGGAAGACCAAGGAGCAGGGAGATGCGCTGGGAAGTGACAACAGGGGATGGAGGTGACAACAGTGTCAGAGAAGGGAGAGGTGGGTGGACCCAGAATGTTTGGAAGGTGGGCCTGCAGAACTGACAGGTAAACTGGATGAGAGGGGGAGCGAGTCAGTCACCCCTGGGTTATGTCACATGGAAGGGCGGGTTAGGAAAGGCTGAGAAAGCACTTTGGGGTGTGGAATCAGGGGTCTGGCCCAAGAGTCTGCATTTTATGCCTTCCAGAAGGTTCTAGAGCACTCTGGAGTTTGAGAGGCAAAGTATAAGCCAGGGTAGACTTTCTCCCTGCCCGAACCTTCTGGAATAAAAAAGCAGCATGGCGCCCACCTGCTTCAGCTGGAGCTTGATGCCGGGCCTGGGCCAGCGGGGCGGAAGCTCATCACCCACCTCCTCCGCAGGCCGGTCTTGGTGGGATTCTGATTTGCTCTTGTCTTGGCACACAGGTCCTTCCCAAACTGTCATCTTCCATTATCCACGAGATCGATAGTATTTTGGGCAATAAACCCTACAGCAAAAAGGACTACAGGTCCTAAGAAGCCCCCCGCTGGCCCGGACACTTTCCGTTCCCCTCCTAGTCTCTGTTCACCGCCACTCGCTTAAGCTGTTTTGAAGCCAAGTCAAGACTGTGGTTTGCATCAAAAAGAGAACAAGGCGCCCAGAGGCCATGGGGAAAACAGGTCAGAAGTCTCTGCAACACCACCCACTGCTTCGCTGGGCCCACATCTGCTGGGGAGACGGTTCTGATTATTAGGACTGTCGAGTGGTCCCACCCACGCCTGCAGCCTCTGCTCATCCTCAAAGAAACCAGCGCGCTTTCCCCCTCCGGCCCGGCCCTTCTTGGAGACTCTCAAGTCCGGTCCAGGCTGGACCAGTCCAGGCCCGGGATCCGGGGCCCGGGGCAGGCAGGGCTGGACTCTCCACTGAGAACCCCCACCTGGTGTTGGGGGAAGGGAAGAGGAAACCGGGTCTAGTCTTCCCGCGCCCCCTGAAGGGCCCTGGGTGTTGGGCTGGGCCTCCCCACGGGGTCTCCCTCTGACCAAGGGCTCTATGCTCTTTTCCATGGGCCTGACTTCAGATGCGTTTCCCACCCTTCTCCACCATCACCTGCCCCGGGGGGTCTCTGAGGGGCCTCCCGTACTCTCCCTTGACCCCTACCTCCTCCCTGGCTGGCAGGGGTAGGGATCCAGGGAGATTGCCTCTGCAGTTTGGGACCCACAAAAAGTTTGGGGGTCTGATTTCAAGTTCATCACCCCACCATCTTGCTCCCTGCGCAGCCAATGAGCCCCAGGCCAGGGCTGCCAGAGCACTTGGCAGGGGGCCTGTGGAGTGGGCTCCAGCCCAGGTCCCTCCAGGGCTCCACCTGCCCTCCCTGCCAGGTACCTAGTCCGCTGCCCTCTGTCCTTGCCCAGAAGGCCCTGAGGTCGTGCATGCTTAGCTGGACTGTGGCTGCTGACCACTCACAGGAGAGGGTGCCTCTGCTCTGCTGGGGTGGTGGCCTTGGAGTCTGCAGAGAGAACAGACTTAGATCCCTTCAGGGAGGGTCCTTGGGTCTTCTGTGCTATGCCCAGGGCTGTGCACACAGCAGCAGCCCCCACAACATGGGGGCTTCTTTCCAGGAGCCTCTCCCTGGAAAGGCGCCCCTGCGAGGCCTCAAATCAGGCAGGGTGGAGGTGTTCTGTCGTGGGATGATAAGTGTGTCTGTGCTCAGAGCTTGTGACCTGGGCAGATGGGCAGCAGTGCCACCCCTGGAATCCCCCACACCCTGTGAAAAGTGAGGATGTCACTTTCATACCACTCCCCAGCCTGGAGCAGATTGGGGACAGGGAGGAAGGGCAGGATGGACGGACCGTCAGCCCCTTTGCAGCCCCAGCTTGGGGCTGGAAGGGACGGGGGAGAAGAGGAGGCCTGCAGCCTGGAGCCCCAGCCCCCATGGTCCTGAGAAGTACCCCAGCCTTTGCCAGCTATGTGGGGGGCACCAGCCAGGCTTTACATATGTGCCAGCCCACTCTATGTGGGCCCTGTGTGCCCCCTTCCCTGGACAGGGAGCATTAACCAGACCCCCGGGACCCCCATGCCCTCACACTCACCCCGGGAGGCAGGCACAGCCTGTTCTGCCTCAGAGAAGCTGCTGTCCCTAGAGGCTCCTCCCTGCCATTCGCAGAGGGCCTACCTTCAGCCCTGGCTGGGCTGAGGCCTGGGCAACAGGGCTTTGAGAAAAGCCCCAAAGGCAAAGGGGTTGGGGAGGGGCAGCTTTCTCCACTCCTGACCTTTATGCTGACCCTGGAGTCTAACACCTTCCCCACCTCGTAGACCAGGCCTTTGGGGGTCTTCCCCATAGTCTACAAGCTTCACTGTGGATGGAGTAGGCAACGCCTGTCCCAGCCGAGGTACCCAGCCTGTGGCCACTCCCCATCACCCAGTGTGCCGATTGCCCACCCCTCACTAACAGGGACCAGACTTGCAGCAGGCCCTTGGTGGGGACAGATGCCCCCATGAGCCACACCTGGGGAGGCCGAGCTCCTATTGGCCACATGTTGGTAAAACAGAGGGAGCCCAGGGTTGAGCTCAGCAGAGGCTGAAATAGCCAGGACCCAGCAGCCTCAGTCCGGGCCCCACTGCCCTCCACCTGGTTTTGAGGTGCCCTATGCTTCTGCACTCACTGCAGGGGGGACAGGGCTCTGCTTCCTGGGGGACAGACCCCCAACTTAGGAAGGAGCTAGAGTGGGGGAGAAGTTGGGCAGAACCTAAGGGCAGTCAGAGTCTGGAAAGGGAAGAGCTGGGCAAGGGTGGCCCCAAAGGGGTGGCCTGGGCCCCTGCCAGCCCCTCCCCCTCCCCTGAAGCAGAGTTGGCCCCTCTGGAGTGCGGACACGGGAACTAGGCCCAGGGACAGGGCTGGGGTCATTCTTCCTTGTTGATGCCACACAGAGCCCCCCGCCGTCTGCCCCCCATCTGTGGTCAGCGCGAGGCCCGGAGCGGCAGAGGGGGGCTCGCTCATCTTGTAAATTACGCGTTTCTCTCCCGTTTTTTTTACGACGGTTCCCCAGCTAATGCGCTCCCTCCACAGGCGAGACTGCCACGCGCCTCGCGCTTCCCAACACTCAGCCGGGACACGGCACCGTATTTATGGAATGACGAAATAAAACCCAAGCCCATGGGGTCTGCGGCTTTCTGCTCGCCTCATTTCCAGGCTCAGGCGCTGGGGTCAGGGCTGGGCAGTCGGCGGGGGTGGGAGAGCTGCCACCATTCAGCAGATGGGGGCCTCTGAAGCCAGGGCAAAGGGTGGATTGGGAGAAATGGGCCTGGAGAAGAGACAGAGACTGCGAACCAAGACCCCCCATCTCTCCCAAGTGATTCAGGAATGGAGGTGCCCCAGCCACCCCAACACACTCTGTCTGGTTGCTGGGAGGCCGCTGTGCAGAGGTTGGGGTCAGAGGGGGGTCAGTGTTTCT